CAAAGTGGCCTCGCTTCATCTCATCCGGCTCCCAGACAACGGCGCCTACCGGGGAGGAAGGAGGGCGCGGCGCTCGCCTCATCGCCTCCTAAAAAACATTCACGCGTCGCTCATTATCGACGCATCAAACGGCGGCAATTAATGCTCCGGGGGCACAAAGTAGTCCATGATTCCCAGAGCGGTTGGCGCCCACTCGCCTCACCTCGCCGCTTAATGAACTGCCGCGTGCGTGACATTCATTCGAGAGGGATTAGGGCGCACTCATTGCCACTTACAATACGCGGGGAATTTATCATTGAAACCAGTCCATTAACGGGACGAATATGAGCCGGGATCGCCGAGACCGTTGCTCCTTTTGCCTTGCCGTCAGAGCGAGAACGTGCGACTGTGGTCGAGAACCCTCTGGCCGCTACGCTGGGTCCACCTCGCTTTTCCAGACGCTTGCCTTGCGAGCTGCCTGCAGCCACCACTTTATAAAATCTGCTGTCTTTTATCCGTTACGTTTCCAGACAACTTGAACTCGCGAGCCTGCAAATTTTCGCACACTTCGACTTCATTTAAGATCTGCTTTATGGAGAAATGTGAAACTTGAGCAAAAGATGCATCCAGCCCTTATGAAGTGTGCTGTTACTTTTCGAGACGGTCTGCTAATGTTATTTGATTGTATAGGCAACCGGGGTTGCCTTTGTGCTTTGGACCACAGGGGTCTTAAACGTGCCCACTGACTTTTCAGAAAGATCTGCTACCCGACGAGCCCCTGTCACGGAGTCAATGTCTTCATCTTCCGTCTGCCAAGTTTCTACAACTTGTAGTTGTGAACTGTCGAATTTCAGGACAATGATTTGCTGCATCCTGTGGGCACTGAGTTCTTACGATGTTCTGCTCTCAGCAATTCACTAGTCGTAAGACACATCTCTTGGCATCAGTGTCTTCCTCTTCTTCTGGTGGACTGCCACATTTTTGAACAATTGAACTTTTGAACAAGCCATCGTCTCACCAGTCCTACAAATCTCTTTGATTGGGTCATTATGGTCACATGATCACAAAAGGTGCTTCACTAGTACCGAATATGTCTGCGCACACAGACCGTGGCTGCAACATGCCGAAGCACATACTGTATGCTGTTTATTTTACGGCGATCGATCGCGGGTCCACTCGAGACCTTGACTTTGTCCGGATCCGGACCACGGTCTGCCACATTGTAGACACGCGTGAAGTGCCAAATTTTGCCTCATTTCTATCGGTGAAGCGCTGCATGCAGAAACTTGGCGAAAACACGCATCCCTACTGTGTGGAATGAGCTATGACGTTTTCCGAGCAATTCGCTGTTGTTCGGTCCCATTTCTTGGGGTCAGCGCGTGGTCGGCCGGCAAACGGTTGTCCACTCGCGAAGAAGTTTTGACTGCGAGTTGTCAACAGAGCTTTGAAGGAGAGTTAGGCTGCGTGCATGTTGTGTAGCGATGCCTCTTTTGTCTCTCCATCATCTTGTCCCCGTCGACCATCCTTTTCCTGCTTAGCAATTTGAAAGTCAGGGCCATACCCTAGATTTGGATCCAGGATGATGTGTTTTCACGTGTTGTCATTCACATTCCTGCGTTGTGTGGTTCATCCCAACAGGAAGTTGGCCAAGAAGCACAAGGAGACGGTGAGTAGCTCCACTCAGCAGAGGGAGATGGGGCCGGTCAACACGGCCGACAAGAGCACCGCCAAAGTCAGCACGCTGCACAAGGACGACCCCTTCTCCACCTCCAGCCAGGACCTCAACGGATTCAGTAAGTTCAAACACGCTCTAATGGGCTGCGAGGGACGCTCGAATTCCCGGTCTATGCTTCAATGCTTCATCCTGCTATTTTGTCTCCTTCACTGTCATGATGACAAGGAGTTTAGCAATTGTCTGTTTGGATAGGGGTATTGCGACACATGGTCTCAATATGTCGGTGGAGTCCCCCAGGATTCTGTCCTTGGTCCTCCTTGTTGTGGTCGTTAACTTTTTAATTTAAGGTGCGTCCCAAAACATTTGTCTGGATGTGTCATGGAGTTTTGCCCCAATACTTTTATCCAAACTCAAAATGTCTCTACTTTTCACTTGGTGGAAGTTTCCTGATAGTTTTTGTGGCTCTTCACCATACCTAAAAGTCAAAATCATTCATCTGAGCTTTTAGGTTTCTCACCGCTGTGATGATTGTGCACACTCGCACTGTGCGTGTGTGTGTGCGTGTGTGTGTGTGTGTGTGCGCGCGCGCACGTGCGTGCGTGTCTCCCATAATTAGACAGAAGCATATAGGAGGGCATTTTTCTCTTGAAAATGTCACGCTGGCCTTTTGTGAGTGCTTAGCCATTGAAAGCCAAGGTTAGCAGAGAAGAGAGAAAGAAAAAAGGAATGAAAGAAAGAAAAAAAAAGGTACTTTGTCAGCACCGCATGCTGCACTTGTAAAACACATTCTCGCACCTGCGGCACTTTTGTTAATATTGAAACATGGCTTACTCATGGAGTCGCGTGCAGGGGTGTGGTGGCCATCGGGAATTAGGGGAGATTCCTGAATGGCCGCTCCACAGTCTTCTGTTAGCTCGTTTGCAGCACCAGCTGGGCATTTGTGGTAGTGTTGTGGAATGGTTTGGAATACTATTTGGCAGGCAGGACTTTTTGTGTCAGCCTTGGTTGCTCTGAGTTGCTTACGCTGCCCCATTTTCATGTGGTGTTCCACAGGGTTCAATGTTGAGGCCTCTGTTTTTTTCATTGCATTTGCTGTCCCTGGGTTCCTGAAGAAAGCTTGGGATTTCCTTTCACTGCTATGCGGATGACAGTCACATCTACTGTATGTCCCGCTGAGCAACAACAAAAAAAAAAAAAAAAAAAACACGTTTTCTCCTTAAGGGCACTTTTGTATTGTCTGGAGGAAATCAAACCTGGATGGCACGAAACTAAATCTGGTACTTCAAAGAAAAGAAAGGTTCCGGTGACCCTTGTAAATTTCACCCGCTGTTTTAATCTAAAGCCAAGAATCTCAAACTTAAAATTCTGAAGCTCTTTGCCTCGTGACTTTCCACAGGAAGCTGTTCTGTTGGAATTCTTTTGAAAAGATGAACAATATGTAATTGATAGATTTCATTCAGTGTGTTTAATCAATTCAAGTGAAAGAATTTCAAAGCAACCCTTGCGTCCTTCCATTTTTCCGTCTGCGGCCCTCAATTGATAAAGTGTGCACAACGTTAGGCAAGACCTCCCTGTCTATTTTTAAAACTGATGATCTGCATTCTTTTATCCTTCATTTGATGGTGTTTTCTGTTTTTATGTCACGAGTTTATGGGTTTATCTGTCTTCGTTTTTACGCCGGATTTTCACTTTGTGTACAGCTCTTTGTATGCGGCTGTGGTCGTTTTCTTAAAAGTGCCCTGAATAAAGTTGTGTTGAGACAAGTCTTAGTTGCGTCTTCATGCAAGCGTGTCTCCTTCCTTTGCATTTCCAGGCCAAAGGAACACGAGAGGTTTGTTGTTAGCTTTAGCGAGATAACTTGAATGGATCAAAGCGTTTTTACGGTTGTTGCGCAGTCGCCCGTCTTTGCGCTCGCGGTCAAAGCGTGGCGTGTTTAAGCGCTCTCTGCGTGTTTTCTTTGAGAAATTCAATATTTGTCGCCATTAGCGTTAGCGCGTTGTTGCCGCTTGTTTTGAATACGGACGATTGATCTCGCTCTTTTTTTCCCCCCTTTCAAGGCGTTCTGTGATGTTTCTCCTGTGAGGTTACTTACGCCTTTTCTCTTTTTTTTCCTCCCTCTTTCTGTGTCCTCCTGCTTCCTCATCTCGCTTCCCGCTGCTGCTGCTGCTGCTGCTGTTTTCCATCTTGCCTGCTCTTCACCTCTCCTTCCTCATCCTCCTCTTTTTTTTTCCCTCCCCTTTAGCCTCCCCCTCTTCCTGCTCCTTCTCCGTGCAGGGAAGCAAGACGCTGCAGAGCAAATCCCTGCTCACTTCCTACTACTCAGGTATACACGCACTCTTACACGCACACGCACACGCACACACACACACACACACACACACACACACACACACACACACACACACACATACGCACATACATTTCACAGTAGAAAAAGTGTTTTTCCTCCATGTTGAGATATTGTCGGTGGAAAATTGGATGATGGGGTCCTACCTGGACTGGATCATCGATCAGGCCTTTTCACGTTTTGGAAAAACCTTTAAGTGAAATAATTTGTCGTAATTATTTTCAAGTATAAGATATAAAAAAGAATTGAAATGAATATAGGCTCCGGCACACCCGTGTCTCCAGTGAGGATGGATGAAAATGTATGGATGAATGGATGTATTTTTTTCAAATCTTATTTGATGAGATTTTTTTACTTATTTTGTGGAATTGTCAGTATTGTCATTTCTGAACACTCCACCAGGGGAAATAACGACTAACCTCTGCACACTAGAGATGAAAAAGTTTTCATGAGATCCGAAACTTGGATTCCACCAGCATCACCTCAGAGCCCCCTCAACTTTTTATTTTATTTTATTTTATTTGTTATGATTGCTATTATTTTTTGTGATATCCTTGAACTGTAATGACAATTTAGCACAAAAGGCCGATACTCGTAGAGGTCATCTATTCTTACGAAACATTGCTCGAGCAAAAATTCGATGTCATCAATGTCATCACAGTGCCTCGGTTGTCATGGCAACGGCGAAGTCGTTGCTTTGGTTATTGATTATTGTGTTGCTGTCTTCCACAGTGTCTAAAGAGCCTGTACCTGCCACCGCGTCTCTGGGTAAGACAAAAGTCACCTTAGCATGAGCATTTTCTTCACCTGTGTGTGTGTGTGTGTGTGTGTGTGTGTGTGTGTGTGTGTGTTTCCACAATTGTTCAACCAGTGATGTAGCTTTGTGAATTGGGCCCATTTGCAGGGGTCAATGACTACTAAACTTCAACCAAGAAATATTCATAGATGGACTAAATTCAGAGTACAGATACGAGTGATCAAACCTTTGAGAGGAGTTATTTGTTCGATTTGTTACATTTTTAAAATTTTTAAATGTGTTTTTATGCATTTCTTTTTTTAAATCTTTACTTGGAAGTGCAAACTTCAGATACACTCTGCGGTGGAAGTAAGCGCAACTCAACCCACTTCACGGTTACTGTCCAACTAAAAAGACAATTGTGAGCCCATACCCCACTAGCTTAATGCTCACGCGAACGCTTCAAACAACGGATTTTTGAACGCAAACGGAGAACCGACACACTTTAGACATTCATTGTAACACTACTGTTGCCGCACTCACGTTCTTTATCCTCTGCGAGGAGCTGAAATGTTCACCTACGCTACATCCGTCTGTCTTATCCTGCCCAGAGGTGGCCGAGGCGGGCGACAGCACAGTGGCCGTTCAATCATGCAAACTGTAACGGCGGACGTGCTCACCACTCGCCTTATGTCATTCATGTGTCTGGTTTTGGGTTTTTTTTTTAGATAAAGTGGAATATTCTAGAGCGAGTGTTTGAAAAGATTTTCTTTTGACCCATTTTAGGCAAAGTTCAGTGGTTAATGGCAAACGATCTGCAAAAGACACGTGCACTTTAGTAGGTCAAATGTGGCACGGAGGAGCCATGCCGAGCGTGCTGGGATTCAAGGGGGAGTTGGGGGCGTAGGCGTGAGAGTGTGTGCATGTATAAGTGTGTGTGTTTTTCGGTGTGAGTAAATTGCACAAACGACAAGATGTACTATCTTGTCGTTTGTGCATTTTGGCTTGTGTTTGGGAGTGTGCTGGAAGTGGGTGTAGCTTCTGTGTGAATCTGTGTGTCTACTTATGTTGTGGTGTGTGTGTCGTATTATGTTTTGTGTGTGTGTGTGTGTGTGTGTGTCCGTGTGTGTATTCGTCGGTATGTTGTGATAGGTTGCTGCTGCCCGTCTTTGTGCTCGGCTCAGGTGTTTGTCTCAGCCCGATTGGCCGCACAACAATGCAGTGGCGCGAATCCTCGATGTTTCCCGCGGCGACAAACGGGCCGCGCGCGCCAGGGTTTCGCGCGCGGCGGGGGGAGTTAACGCTGATGCCATGCAAATCCCAAGGATCAGGATGAAGGCCGGCACGATGTCGCGTCTTTTATGTGCAAACACGTCTGGCTCTCACAATCAATTTCCTTCGCCGCGTCTTCCTCGTTCGGCGTCCTCTTCAGCCTTTTGTGTTGCCGCAAGGACGACCCGTCGCAGCTTTTTGTTTTTTTGTTTTTTTGTTTTTTTTTTGAAGAAAACTCCAGAAAAGAATAAGACGTGGTGCAAAGTAAGCAGGTACGAAACACTTGCTAACCGTACGTAAGAAGATCCTTCTGGGGTCTGTTCTTTACTTGTGTTTCCTTTTCTGGCAACTTTTTCAAATTTAGTCACAGCGTATGGAAACAGATATTCGTCTTTGAAATGGAATAGAAAGCCGCACCAAAAATGAACACAGGTGTTTGTGAAATACAAACTGGCACTTGAGAATCGTGTACGTTATATCGATATACAGTCCAGTAATAACGTAACTAAATCAAATGTAAAGAATCAATCAGCTTGTCCCTCAAAATTAATTCATTGCGAGTCCTTGTGGTGTGTGTGAGAATTAGCCAGCGGGAGGCAGCATAATATAGTCATGCAGACGCAACGGAAGAAGAGTTTCACGACTACTGGAAGCGACCTGCTAAACTCCAGTAACATTTTTTTTTTCTGGAGGGGAAATAAGGAATCTCTGTTTGTTGACGTGGCTGTACATGTATTGATGCCCTGTTTGTGTTCAACGATCTGTACTTTCAAAGGTTAAAACGCTCTGACCGTCAATGCTATACATTAGCCCGCCAATGGCGTTTTGCATTGTGTGTTAGCATGAAGCTAGCGGAAGGCAAAGCTGCGTGGTGGTTTGAAATTCTCTTTGAGTTGAAACGACTTCTGTAAATGTGTTCAAATGGAAATGACGATGGCAAACTAAATACAGTACGAAAGTAGGACCTGAAAAATGAGGTGCATGAACAAAGTATTTGTACTTGTGTACTTTCCACTTCTAAGGCCCATTGTGCGTTTTTTTTTTTTTTTTTTTTTAACATCAGGGCCCTCTTTCCCTTTGGAAGATGCTCTGGTTCAATGTTTTTTTTCCATTCCCCCCGACTATCCCGTCCCCCACCCCCGAATGGGCAATTATTCTCCCGCTGTCTCATTCAGCATAGCATTAGCTGAATGCAGGGTGATTATAGCTAATGGCAGCCATTTTGTGTGGCTGTAATGTGTCAGTGCTGGGTAATTGAAGGTGAGAGTGGGGTTGAGAGAGAGTCATTTTTAACCTTTATGTGCGGCCGGTCGGCGGAGACGCGTCTTGACTCTCTGCTTACGCAGCTTCTATTTGATATTACATGTGACGCATTGCATTCACGCCGCTCCCCGTCGTCGTCGTCGTCTTCTTTTCTTTCTCGCTCTCTTACCCCTCACAAAAGTGTCAAGAAAAGCTTTTTCCTTTGTATTCCTAGGAGGAGTCACACGTTTTGTACTGTGCCAAATTGTACGCCATTAAGATAAACAGTAAGAAGTGTCTGTCAAATAGTGCACTATCTGGACAGACAGTGAAAAGATTCTGGAAAATAGTGTAAGCAGCGAGACTCTTGTGTCAAATAGTGCTCCATTAAGATAAACAGTGAGAAACCTCTAGAAAATAGTACTCCAATTAGATAAGCGGCAAGACGCTTCTGTCGTACATATTTATAAAAACAGGAAAAAGCCTCTGGGAAATAGTTGTCCCATTACGTTGAACAGTGACAAACTTAGTAGTGCACCATTTTATTCTATTTTTTTTTTCCCCAGTGAGAGGCTTCAGCAAAATAATACGCCACGAAGTCAAACTGTGTGAACTGCCTGACAGAAACTGCAACGCGATGTTCAACAGCAAGAAGCCTCAGCCAAATAATGCGCATGGACTTCAAACAGTGGAAAGATTCAGCCAACTAGTGCAACGCCCAGTCAAACGTTCACGATGTCAGCCGTATAATCGATCATTAAGTTGAAGAGTGAGACGCTTAGCCAAACGGTACACCGTGAAAGGACAAGAACCGTAACAGAACGCATAAGCCGCACATGCACACGCACGCACGCACGCACACACACACACACACACACATTAATACATTTTTTAACCACCTGTGTGTGTGCGGTTAGCAAGGTCACATGTGCCTCAAGCCAGCCATGAAATGGAGTCATCGCAGCAGCTCCATAACACTGACAATGATGAAGACATCTCTCTGCCACTGTGTGTGTGTGTGTGTGTGTGTGTGTGTGTGTGTGTGTGTGTGTGTGTGTGTGTGTGTGTGTGTGTGTGTGTATATTCTCATTTGAACGACAACTGTAGTGTCTGTCGGTTGTGCACTTGGGCTGCAGCATCCAACTAATGACCCTTTCTGTGCTTGCACTTTGTATACAGCGGTGGTTGCTTTGAAGTGACATCCATACATCCAGCAGAGTTGAGTTAAGCTGAGTTCTTCTCCCTGCACCAAATTGAGTTCTATGTAATCATTTGAACAACAAACAAAAAAATAACAGCGTTCAAACACTGATGACGCCACACCGGGTCAGAACAAGGAGCAACATGTCCCACTGATTACCCTCCGAGATTCGAATAGTGCACCATGAAGTCAAACTGTGCACAATTCAGTTGAGCATTGAAAAGCAGCGGCCCAATAGTGCAGCGTAAACGCTGAGTTTCAAAAGAGCATCTGGAGGATTTTGTGTTTTGTGGTGAATGATCAAACTTTGGCATCCTTCTCCGCCTACACTCAAAGACAACCCCCCCCGTAATTTAGCTTCGCTCCTCCGTCTAGTTTGATGTGCGATCAATTTAATCGCAATTGGACAAAATCTCTCGGGCAAGTTTGTCTTCAAGGTCCTCTGGAAACAGCCGAGGGACCTTGCATAGGTTGCTTTCAAACAAATCGGAAGGCTTCTTTCTTGTGTTTTTTTCCCCCACGTGGCTTCCTGAACATTGTTGTCGGCTATCCCATGATAGACACGCCTACTTTCACGGTGGCAAGTCAAATTGGCTTTCTGGACCAAATTTTAGAAAAAAAACATTCGTGTCATTGCAATTGAGCCTAAATGGCAAAAAGAGCAAAACGGTCGACTTCCTGTGTCTTTTCAGGCAATCTTGAGACATTTTTTGTGGGAATACTCACGATAGACACGTCGACCAAAATTCACGTCGGCCAAACTGCGTTCAGGGCCCGGCCGGATTTTGTTGGATGTGCTTGACCATACCATCCATACCACTGTCTACGTTTAGCAAAGAAAAAAAAAAGTGTTGTTGTCGTCACGGTAACCCTGACGCCATTTCGTCTTTGCTCACTCGCTTGACAGACAGCAGCCAGCCATCGCTCGCCCAGGCCTCGCTGACGCTGCAGAGCTTCCCGTACGGCGGCCGGGAGTCGGTGGAGCTCGCCTACCAAAGCGGTACGTCGCCTGCGCCGAACTCGTGTGCGGCTTGTTGGAACGAGCGACCAAATTGCTCAGCGCTTGCGTGAGTTTTCTGCCGATACTCCAGTGTCCCAAAACATTTGTCCGCGCGCCGATCCTCAGGTCAGTTCCAGGCGGGTCAGTTCCAGCCGGCCATCCGCGTGGCCGACCTCCTCCAACACATCACGCAGATGAAATGTGGACAAAGTTACGGCTTCAAGGAGGAATACGAGGTGAACGTCGACACTGAGTCAGAATTTCTTTTTTTTTTTCCCCCCCAGAAAGAAAAATCTTGAATGACTCCCCAATGATGAAGTACAAGTTAGACTTTTTTTTTACCAGATAAAAGTCATCATTTGATATTGTGATAGGAAGAAAAAAGTATACAGAAGGAAAAAAAAAAAGTTGCATTTTTTAAAAAGATGGATGAATAAAATAACAATAAGAATGATTTCAAAAAGGCAACCGTAGCAGTGCTTCCAAATACAGCAGGTGACTGACATCTCACGGTACTAAAACCTGGAATGTATTTTTTATTTTTATTTACGGTGTAAAGGCATTTACTTTACAAAAAGATAAGATAACCCTAGCCCCCCCCCCCAAAAAAAAATCCAACGATACTGTACAATACAAGGAAATACTGATTAGCGGCCAACCGATAAGAAGCAGGTTCAAAGGGGGTTACTTCAGGGCACCGTTTCAAAACCCATCATTTTTTTTGTTGCACGTTTCCAGTTGCAAAAAGTGCAAACTCTTGTTTGCTTCATGAGACATTTTTTTCTGACATTTCCGACTGACTTGCGTTGGTGTTTGCCGTTGTAAATATTCATGGCACGTTTTCCCGCTTCCTGGCCGGCCCCCGAGCATCAGGCCCGTATCAGCTCCCATAATGCACCGCTTTCGTACCTCGGCCTTTTCTAACTCGTGCGTGTGTGTGTGTGTGTGTGTGTGTGTGTGCGTGTGTGTGTTTTCAGGCTCTGGCGGAGGGACAGACGGCACCCTGGGAAACAGCCAAAAAAGATGAGAACCGCAACAAGAATCGCTATGGTAACATCATTGCCTGTGAGTACTGACACTCTTTTATTTCCCGTTCTGATTCTTGTTGTTAGCATTCGGCGCTGTTAGCTTGAACCAGCGATGTTGCCTTCTTGGTATGAAGCAGCAAAGGGGCTTTTAGTCGGTCAACCATTTTAGGTGCAGTTGGTTCAAAATGGTGCCCAACTCTTTACTTATTTCTGATCAACACACAGCTCACGGTTTCACTTGGAAACATCAAATGCGGTGGCGACGTCTATCACAAGCAGTCCTGGACACGCTGCAAATGTGCCGTTTGGGTTTGAATTGGTCTTTTTAGGCTTTTTGCCGAGTTGCGCCGAGAATGATTTTTTTTTCTTTTTTTTTCTTTTCAAAGCTCACAGAGCCAGCTTCACCTAACGTGCCCATCTATCACGAAAAGACCCACAAATAAGTCTCCAAAAGCCATGCCCGAAACAGCAAGAGTCTGACATTTTTGTTGAAAAGATCCATTTTAGACTCAATTGGCTTTTTTGTTTGTTTTTGAAAATTCAGCCTCCCTGAAGACAAGTTCACTCGGCAGCATGAAATTTGGGACAAAAGTCGACAATAACTCGACCAGTGGGAGAATCTTAAGAAATCTTGCCAAACTGTCACAGAAAGTCTGCCGCTTTGATTGGAAGCAACCTTTTTAGGGCCATTTCCAATGCTCCTCCAAAGACAAACGTTTGATTTTTCATTTCATTGGTACCGAAGTTGACACCCGTATAGCCGCCAGACGAGCGACACCTCATCATAAAATTTGTCCGAAGATGTGGGTGGAGCTTCGCCGACTCACTATCAAACAAAAACTTCTCCTAACTCTGTTCCACTTGCTGGGACTCGTTTTTTTTTTTTCTTTCCCCTTCTGAATGTTAGAACGGTCATGTCATATAATGAAATCATTAGAATACACAGGTGGGCAGATGATGAAGCGATTAACAGTTTGACGCACCTTAAGAGTGTGAAAATGCATTAAGGGGCATTTCTTGTCATGCTGTTGTATTGTGGGCGCTGACAGGTTAGAGCGGCGCGTGTGCGTGTGTGTGTGTGTGCGTGAGCGTTTGAGACGCACGTACATAATTAAAGGTCTCCGTGTCGTGTTGGCGCCTCGACACGGCGAGCGGAAGGCTCTCAAATGAAAGCGCGAAGAAATGAAATAAGCTGTCAAAGTTTGGATTGGCCTGCAGGAATGATGATGAATTTGCTATTAGTACAAATGTTTTAATTACCGGCCGCCTGCTAATGGAAAGTGTCCATCTCACGCAAAAGCTCATTTTCTTCAAAGAAAATGTCGTCAAAAAGCCCCCCAGGGAGGCCGCGCGCCTCCTTTGCCTCCATCAGACCGCGAGGAAAAACATTTTGCTTGAACTCCACTTCACCTTTTTCCCCATCTTCGTCTTCTTCTTCTTCCTGGAAGCCAAGCAAACCTTGTGTAAGATTCCGCGCATTGATCCGCTCGTGTTTGCGGCACGCCGGGAGAAAAAAAAAGATGATTTGTTTCTGCTCTTCAACAGTGCAAGCGTCGTTTTTTTTTTTTTTTTAACCCTCTGGCTTCTATGTGGGCCGATTTATGTCCACCTCGCTCCCGATTCTTCTCTCTCTTTTTTTTTTGAAAGCATTTTCATTAGCCGCGTTAATACAAATGTAACGAAACTTCACAAAGGGTTGGGATTTGGCTCATTCTGTCATTTGCAGTTTCTGCTCATTAAATCAATTGGTCATTTTTGGATGCTTTGATTGTGACTGCATCGCTTTGCCATGTTCACAAGCAAGCTCGAAAATGAACAGCGTCTATTTTGCCGGCTGCTATCGTGTGAATGCAAAATGGCAAATAAGAATCCATTTCTAGCCAAGTTGCCATTGTCGTTGGCTTTTTCTCCCCACGTTGGAAAGCACGGACATAAAACAAAGCTGTTAAATTCTCAACCAAGTTACCCACCGACGGTCGCCGGTTCGTAGCACAACGATCCGAACAACATCCTCATTGTCACCAAAATTGCGTTAAAAGGTGAAAAAAAATGTTCAAGTGGAGACGAATGTCTTTTTTTGAGCTGTCATCCGAGCGACAGCGACTAGTCTGCAACGCGGCGGCGAGTAGCGCTGACGAAGCGCGCCGCCGCGCTTCGTTATCGCTGATTGCGGCGCCGTCGGCGTTTGGAAGCCACCGCTGCGTTGGAAAGATGACGATATGACGGGGTGAACAATCAGTGCCGCTTAATTATCTTTCCGGGGTGGGGATTGATGATGATGATGATGATAGATGGCGGCATGATATTTTGATGCTGTTTGATGAGCTTTCGTGAGAGTCTGTCACCAATGCACACATACCAAGCCAAGATGACATTTGGTCGAGATGCCTATCATGAGTCGACCCACAAATAAAGTCTCAAAATGTTGAAAAGGTAGCCGACAATGCCGGTCTAACTTGGAATATGGCAGACATCTCCATCATGAATAGGCCTTTCAATCAGCCGTTCCTGAAAAGCGACAGGAAGTCTGCCCTTTTGCTTCAAAGTCACTCTTTTAGTTCACGTTGGCCATTTTTGGCGAGCGCCGCAAAGGACCTCCTCCTGAAGATATTTTCCCCGCTTTTGACCCGATTTGAAGGATGAACAGATGGATAATGCTGCAAAACTGTCAACAATTTGAGTTTTGCTCATTTCGTCTTGACATGCCACAGAAACATTGAAGTCCAGGCATGATGACTGCAGCTCATGCTGTTTTGGTTGGTTTTTTTCAATTCAGCCTTTGCGCCCGAGTACACTCTGTACTATTGAAGAGTACCCACCAAAACGTCTCATGAAGCCACGCCTGCTTTGGTTCAAAGCGGACTTTGAAGTTCTTTGGGCCATTTCCAAGTGGCTTTTTTTTTTTTTCTTAATGTTTTGGAAAATTCAGCCCCCAGAGCCACTTTGACTGAGCGATGTGAAATTTGCTATACATGGCTTGGCGACCAAGAATCCACCCTCAAGAAAGTCTCAAGAAATCACGCCTGAGAAGACACCGAAAGTCTGCCATTGAACTGTTGTGTGAACTGCGTCTGCGTGTGCGTGCGTGCGTGCGTGTGTGTGTGTATATGTGTGTGTGTGTGTGTGTGTGTGTGTGCGTGTGCGTGCGTGTGTGTGTG